ATCCCCAGCCCTGGTGTGTCAGTATTGATTGGCTTTCTGCTCTTGGCAAGACCAGGACCTGAAGAGGTTGAGCTTGGTTATAAAACTTCTCTGTGTTTTATGGTCTGTCATTGTGCTGTTTACCCAAGGCTGGACCCTGCAACTTCCTGAACCAAGAGCAAGTTTGTTGTGGCTCACTGGGTCACCCAGAGGGGTTTAGAGATATAAAAGACGTGTATGATTTTATATCACAGAATGATCTCTCTTAAAGTGTGAAACGCATTGGAACATATGGTATTTTCCATATACTTAGTTATTTGTATATTCTAATATATATTTAACACTAAAATATGTAATAAATATAATTATGCATGTATTTGTAAAATGAAAATATTTCATATAGTTGTTGAAGGATACTTATGAAAATTTTTATAAATTTGTGTATGTATTTATGAATATGAATACAAGTGATATAAAATTCTCAAAGAGGTATTCACATGTCAAAGACACTTCATTGATTAAGAGGCTGGATACAGCAAAAGTACAAAAGAAAATTTTCATCCAATGGGCTATGGACCAAATATATTTCTCCATCCTTGTGTCAGATGTACAGGCTGTCTTGAAAAACCATTCACTTTTTGTAATGCTTAGGAAGAAAAATCACAATCTAAAGTATGTCTCTCTGATGAGAAGGAGGCATTGATGAACACCCCTGTGTGTTAGTGGGCTCGTTTGTTTGTGTCTTTGTGCATATGTGTTTGTGTACAGTGTCTTTCTGTCCTTTCTCTGTCCATGTTTCAGATGGGCAGCAAATCTCTTGTAAAACCATCCGGTTTGGAATTTTAGGGGAACTAAAATCATAGTCTGAATCATACCTCTCTGATGAAGGAAAACTTGATGGTAGGGTGTGTATGATTGTGCTTGTGTGCTTGTATCTATGTGCATGTGTGTTTGTATGCAGAGTCTTAGGCCCTACATAAGGTATACTCCTGAGGCCTCCTGTAACCAAATCTTCCTGAGTTTATCTACACTAATTACATATACTGATGGAATTAATTTCTTCATCAAGGATGGTAGATCATCATTCAGGAGACTATTAAAATTAATCTAATGGGGGAAATAAAGAAATCACTCCCGGTCTCTTTCAATTTTTGATGGGTTTCAGTAGAGTTGGCTACTAGGTCTAGCTGTAGGAAAGTCAGGCACAGCGTGTACAATTTAGGGTCATTCAGGCCAGAGAGATATGCAGTTGTTATACAGCTGCACTACAATAAAGAATCTGAACTTCTACCATTGCTCTCATTTTTCTGGGCTCATTCTAAATTCCAAATTTACATTCAGCTATTAGTCACTGTGCAGCAGTATTCATTTTTTCTTTTTACAGACTTTCCAGACTTATACAAATGGGAGATTATAATATAATGAATATCTGTGTATCCATTTTAAGTTCAAATAAATTTTACTATTTTGCTGCATATATTCATTTGTCCCCTTAATTTATTTCTTTCAAAATTTCTGCTGTCATATCAAAAAATATTCTTGATATGTACTTTTGTCCCTAAATATCTTACTTCACATGAAAATAAAAAATTTCATGATTGTAATATCATTTTAAATCCTAAGAAAATCAAGTTCTTAAATATCTAATTTTCAGTTATAATTACAATTGTCTTCTTCTCCCAGTAATGTCTCTTACATGTAAATAAATGGATTAGACTTCAGGATTAGAAATTGACATCCACGTTCAATTTTTTTTTTTTTATAAGTGTACCAAAACCCCTAGAAATGTCAAGAAAGGGAAGGAAATCCTCCTCTGCAGATAGTACACGGACAGGCAGACACTGACCTGCATGAACCTTTTTCTCACACCATATCCCCAAATTTTCTTAAAATGGATGAAATACAAAACCAACACTAAAATTCCTCAGAACAACCCATTGAGTTAAATCTTCATGACTCTGCATTTGCCAATGATTTCATAGATACCGCATCAAAATCCAGAGTTGCAAATGAAGAAAAATATGTAAATTGGCATCCCTCAAAATGAAGATCAAGGGAAATGCTCCCAATCACTGTTCAGCTCTCTTCACTGTGGTGCCAGAGACTCCTGCAGTAAGTCTCTGTCCCCACCTGCCCAGTGTATGACCCAAGGTTGAAGAAAAACTTAAGACAGAGTGAAAGAGAAAGCATGAACTGGGATGGCCAGTGCTCTTTTGGCAAAAGGCCCTGGCCCGTCTCCTCCACCGAATTTTACTATTCATCAGTCAGGGTAAAAGGTGAAGTATGTGTAATTACCATGGAAACCAATGCAGGCAAGGCTTTAAAGAGGAGAATCAAAGCATTTTCAAATTAGAAGCAAGATAGGCAAAATGTATGGTTGTAATTAGTGCATTGTCCTTCAAGCTATGAAGGCACTAATTGTGGGCATGGAATCAGGGTGTGATTTAATCTGAGCCCATCTACGATGTTATCTCAGATTAGCCTCACAGCTTCATAGGTCAGTACTCTGGTCTTGGCCGTGGCCATTAGCAGGGAGGTCGTGTTGACCTGCGCACTACCTCAATGCTCAGGAGGTGCTTCTGTGAGTCACATAGCTTCAGTCAGACTCGCTTCTTAAAGGAAGCCAGTGGAGGGATTTAACTCTTTGCAGCCTGCAGTGCTCACAGGATGTTTGTGGCATAATCAATACTGTGGGCTGTGGCACTGAGGAGCTTATTTCTTTCCCCTATTGTCAACTCCTGGCTTCCATCAGTCAAACTTCCCTTGGTGTGGTTTGGATTTGGTAGCTGACCCTGTGCTGGTTGCAAAGAGTTCATATTGAGGTGGTTTTTAATACTCAGCAGATTGTCTTCTCTTATACTGTTATCTTTTTTAATGTTGCACATTGCTTTTGATATCAGCCTGACTCTTTGCCCAATATATAATGATTCTGCTGATATTTTATTGTTCATCGATGGACATATCTTCATCAAAAGGTTTTGAAAAACTCATCACATTTTTCTTCATACCCTATTTGGAATTATTCCTAATAAAGTGATAAAATATAAAAAGAATGAAAATCCTTTTTACCTCTGAAGACACTGTCAAGATAATTGAAAGAAAAATAGCATAATGTGTGACCATATTTATAAATATGATATGTGATGGGTTATATTATTCTAAATATATAAAGAAATCAGACATCCATCCATTTTAAAAATAGAACAGGTCTTAAATTGACATTTCTGAAAGGGATCGAAATGAAAAGGAAGCATATGAGAAGGTGCTAAAAATTATTAGTGGTCACAAAATTAAAGAAGAAACTACAGATACCACTCATAGCGTCTAGAATTACACTATACTAAGAGAAGAGATGTATTGGTGAGGACACAGGGAAAAATTTTGAAGAAGGATGTTCAATTGCCCAGGCTGGGTTCAAATTGTGGTTCTCCTGCTTCAGACTTCTAGAGTGCTGGGATCATAGGCTGGTGGCACCATGCTTGGCCTATTTGCTGCTTTTCTGTCCTTTGTATTTTTACCACCTCTTGCTGTTTCTGGGGATTATTTTCCAAATTTCAATAATCTTTTAAATCCATATGTTCTTGGGGCCGGGGATTTAGCTCAGGGGTTCTGGTGCCTGCCTCACAGGCGCAAGGTCCCAAGTTCAATCCCTGGTACCAAAAAACAAAAACAAACAACAGCTCCCCCCATCCATATGTTCTTAGAGTTCACTGAACGTTTAAATGGGGGAGTTCTCTGAATTCTTCCTCAGCCCTTTCATCAATCTCCATTTCTTTGGGGTGCATTATTAGTTCAGTTTGGAAGAGACTTGATTTGCTGATCCATACTACTTGTGCTCCACTGCGGTTGTCTGTGTGGAGGAGACACCTCCCTCCGCTGGCCTTTCTTGGTGATCTTTGATAGGGACAGACCTTTGCTACCTAGTGTAACCTGCTATTCTGGAAGGCCCAGCTAGGGACAACCGCAGGCAGTCAGAGCCCATGTTGATTGAGTTCTCTAGTGGGCTGGGCATCTGCCTTTGCACTGTGATGAGGTGGGCTTGCTGGCTGGGTCCACTGTCCAGGGAGAACTCTGGTAAAGCCAAGGGAGGCTGGGTTCTGCAGTGGCTTAAGGTTGGGGCAGTCACAGATTTCTTTCTCCGTCCAGGTAGTTCCTGTTTGGGATCTGCTCTTGGGCAAGGTCTCAGGACAGACTCCAGATTAACAGTGTTCAACTCTGGATACACAAGAGATTTGTCTCTCAAGGTAGATTTATCTATGCATTATCTCTCAAGGTAGAGCTGATTTGATTTCCCAAGTTCATTGCTTCTTTAATATCTGTGAAGGAGGGAATCTTTATGCCTGGGAGGAATCACTGAGCAATTCTGGGGTGAATATAGCTGCTGCTTGATTTCTTAGATCAAACTGATTATGCTTGCTCTTTTGTGGGCTTCACAGAAGTGAGAAACTGGATGGGCCAGTGGGAATATTTTTTACTGGAGAACGTAGTTGCTGCTAGGCTCTAAGGAAGTATCTAAAAACTAGTGAGTGTCTCCTCCACCCACTACACTCTATATACACTCTTGGAAGGTCCTTGATATGCTCCTAGTTGGTGTAGAATCTTCTATGAAATGCTCCTGGGGTGGGGGTGTGATCTGACAAACACCATCCGGCTCACCTAGGAAGGTCTCCAGAAATCTATCTAACGTCACCGAGTCCAGAGTAGCACACTTTCCTTGTTACTTTGTTTTGGGCATAGCGTGGGTGCTCCCGAAGGAGGGTGAACACATGACCAAGTCATTTCTCCTGACCTTCATGCTAGTATAGTGTGGAGGTCACAGACAGATAGGTTCCTGAGAGAGGACCCAGGACTGATTACAGTGAGCTCATAGGAAAGTTCTAAGTCTCAGAACAGGACAGGAAAGCATAACAAGATAAAAGCAAGAGACATTTCAGCAGAGTGCTTGGGCTAGTGTTCAACAGGTGAGCAGCCACTGCACTGCATGTTATCCAGAGAAAGTGACCTAGGATAGATAAGAATCATCTTCCATCAGGTCCCTGGCAGAGTCCACTTAGGTGAGATGTCAATCTCATTTGAGGGTTTTTGAGTCCTCAAAGAGTTTGAAAATGAAGCAAGAATCCTACTAGAAATAGAGCAGGGCAAGCAGTAATGCCTATCCATGGCAGAGCTCCTTGTGAACACTCTTGTGACCCTTCCAGGGAGGAGGGTCAGTACAAAGGAACTTCCAGTGTTTCTTTCAAAGCCAGGTTGCAAATTCCATTTCAAGCACAGAGGTTCGGGTAAGCGGAGGATAAATCCAAATTGTGGGTCTGGAAGAATTTCACAGCTAGAACATTTACTCATATTTATTTCCATTTAATCTTTGTGACATCTCAAGCCCAAAGTCATTGCTTCAAATTCAATAAGTGACCATCAGAAGGACAAAGATCACAAGTCATTCTTATCTAGCCAGCACACAAGGAGGTGTCTTTTCAAGTGTAACTCATTAGTCATTCTTAGGTGGAATCATCGGAGCTGGGTATAATTTCTTTTATGAACCTATGAAGCCACACCCTCCTCTGAGGACAGGTTATATATTTGTACTTCCTCCACCCACTACATTCTATATCAGTTGGGAGCCTGAGCAGCCTGGTAGCTCTGGGCTGCAGTCTTCATGGCTCCTGCAAATTTGTCTGCTCCCCTCCCCCTGTGTCTGTGTCTGCTGCTGGCAGCTGGCTTTGCCCAGGCAGGCAGGCTGCTGGTGGTGCCCATGGATGGGAGTCACTGGTTCACCATGAGCTCAGTGGTGGAGAAACTCGTCCAGAGAGGGAATGAGGTGGTTGTTGTTATGCCGGAGGTGAGTTGGCAACTGGGAAAATCACTGAATTTCACAGTAAAGACTTACTCAACTTCTTACACTCTGGAAGACTGGGACCGGGAATTCAAGAAGTTTGCTGAGCACCACTGGAAAACTACAGAACAAAAGATAGCTTTTGCACTACTGGGTTCATCTTTTGAATTTTTTCAATTATGTTTTTCGCATTGTAGGAGTTTGTTTAAAGACAAGAAATTAGTGCAATACCTAAAGGAGAGCTCTTTTGATGCAGTACTTATGGACCCTTTTGATGCATGTGGTTTTATTGTTGCCAAATATTTTTCACTCCCATCTGTGGTCTTTGGCAGAGGAATGTTTTGCCATTATCTTGAAGAAGCTGCGCAGTGCCCAGCTCCTCTGTCTTATATTCCCAGAGGTCTGAGTTTCTCAGATGCCATGAGTTTTGGACAGAGAATTTGGAACCATATCTCCTACTTGGAGGAGCGTTTAGTTTGCCCCTATTTTTTTAAAACAGTGCTAGACATTGCCTCTGAAATTCTCCCAACACCCGTCACCACGTATGACCTCTTCAGCCACACGTCAATTTGGTTGTTACGCACAGACTTTGTCTTCGACTATCCCAGACCTGTGATGCCCAACATGGTCTTTGTTGGTGGAATCAACTGCCATCAGGGAAAGCCTCTGTCTAAGGTATGTTCTCTCACCATGGCATATTAAGAAAATCCAGCCAAAATATAAAAATTTTTCTAACTCCCATTAGTTGTTTCTGTTCATCACATTTCAGATTTCATTGAGGCTTAACAAATTCTTGTGTGGCATTCATTTAATTGTGCATTAGCAAATTTTATAAATCCACCCTCATTGGTATCAAAATGTCTGTAGAATTCATAGCCTTTTGTATATTTTCCATGCTACATTTTAAAATTCCATTTTTGGAAAATAGTGAAATACATCAGGAATTGAAACTTTCATTTTTGCTATTCCTATGCTATCCCCTCTAAGAAAATGCTCTTTACAGTTTTCCATGTAACTTTCTTGTTTTTTTGAAATTATTTTATAAATATAAATATATATATATATGTAGTATAAATTCTCACAGCTATTTTATTAAAATAATATTTTATATCAGGCTGGACATAATGTTCTTTACCTTGTTCTTTTACTTGTCAGTAAATCATAGTTATCTTTGAAGCAAGTACTTACAGATTTGACATGTTCTTTTGATAATTGCATTAATGTCTATGTTGGATGCACCATTGTGTTTTCAACCAACCAATGTTGACAGCTATTTAGTTCAAGACTGAACTATATATTCTTAAGTACTTTCTTTAAACTCAAAGATGTCCATATTCTTTTCTTATCTCAGTATTATAGAGTTTTAAGAGAGAGGTTGCTAGGTCTAATGATATATATATAATACATTTTAATAAATTTGATTGGTTTCTTTAGAAACTTTCAACAACCTCATAGTTTGGCCCACAGCATCTGAGAGTTCTAGTAGTTCCATATCTTCTTTAACTCCACATGCTGTCAAACTTAAATTTTTCTTAGTTTTCGGGACAAAAAGAAATCTGTGTGCCTATTTCAGTTTTCAGTTCCTCTTCTATAGATATACTGGCTATTTATATTTTCTCTTTTGTGACTTACATATTCACATTCTTTAACCATCTTATAGGATTATTTGTCTTTGTATAACTAAATCTACAAGGTTCTTGGATTGTAAGAATATTAACACTGAGCTTTGATTATTTGTGCTGGAAATATCATTTTCTTGGCTGTTCTTCATTTTCTGCACTTTTCTTCATATGACCCTTTTATCTTTATTGTTAAAATTTATTACTAGGCATGTTATTATTTTTGAAGTTTTGTGCACAGAACTAGTTTTCTATTTTTTAACTAGTTTTTAGTAATTAAACTGCAGCTTTGATTTTTGCATATTTATCTTGTAACTAACCATTTATCTTGTATCTTACTATTTTCCTTTATTAGTTTGTAAAATGTACTAGACATATAATATCATCTGCAAAACACTTCCCTGATATTTATATGACTCATTTGCCACATATACTTTATATAATTGTACATTAAATATAATATATATATATGTAGCCAAAAACTGTATACACCAGAAAAGAAAAACTTCTGTAACTATTTTAATACTAAATTTATTGAAACATCAGGTGAGTAATACAAGTTTCTTTTGGCCTTTAGA